CTCTCTCTCTCTCTCTCTCTCTCTCTCTCTCTCTCTCTCTCTCTCTCTCTCTCTCTCTCCAGACACCCCCCCGCTCGGAATACCTCTCCGGAACACGATCAGGCAGAGCTCAGTTGCCGCCATTCGATGGCCAATTACGTCATTTCATTTCGGAATTTCGAGCAAAATACCGTCTAACTAGCGACGAAAAGGACCAATCAATCAATCAACCAACTGGCTATTTGCTCCGTACGCCGCTCGAGAACGCAATGTCAGACGGGAGCGCCAAGGTTTCAAATTACAATTACGATCATCGCCGCGACGCACACAACGATCCTCGACGTGACTACCACCGTCAACGCTCCCGAGTAATGACTCCGCCGGTTCCTCAAATCCACACTACCTTCCACGTCAGACGAGTTGGGAGGAGGAACAGCCGAGGAGTTCAGCTTGAATTTATGCACCCTCCCTCGATTGTCACCCGCGTATAGATGGCCGGAGTCGTCGGAGATGGCAATGGAAAGTAGACTTTCCATAGTATTCGCGAGGTATGCTACAGTGGTGAATCTCCCCTCGGGAACTCCATCGATTCCGAGCCTCACCCATTGGATCTCTGCACGGGTATCAGCACGACTAAGTTTCGTGATGACGAAGAGATGAAGACCATCGCGCGTGACGGCAACAGCCGCGGGGTTGCCGTCTGTAATCATGACCTCTTCCGATTCACCAAAGATCGCAACGGTCTGGGTTGCGCCTGTCCTCGTGTCAACGCGTCTCACCCGTCCATTCCCCCGGTCAGCGACGAACAGGAATCGGCCATCGCCAGCGATGGAGGAGAACCCGATCCGAGGCTTATCGAAGAGCACGGAAGACGGCGATGGAGGAGAACCCGATCCGAGGCTTATCGAAGAGCACGGAAGACGAGTTCTCGCCATCAGAGAAGCCCCTGCCTTCGCCGCCGGCCAGAGTCAGGTTGCCCGTATCCCGCAGCAGGGCGTTGCTCCCATTGTTATCACTGTGCCAGATCTTTAAGATGCGCGATCGTTGCGTCACCACGTAAATCCACCTCCCCTCATTACTGCCAACCACCTTCTCCTCCTCCTCCTCCTCCAGGTCCTCCTCCTCCTCCTCCTGCCCTGGCACAACTTGCGAGCGATCCACCGTCATTGACTCCGGCTCGGGGAGATTTGCCAGCAAGAACTGACTCTCGGAGCACTCGACATCCGCTCTGCGTGGATCTAGGCTCCACATGTTTCCTCCTTTGCCGTCCATGTACCCATTCACTAAGACAAGGTCTGTTCCCTCCTCGCCGCCGCCCGTCGAAGCCACTGCATCCGGTTCAGCTGCTGCTGCTGCCGAAGATGCCGCCGACGGTACATCGGCGCCCCCTGATTTCGTGCTTGCGCGACGGGACGGAAATACGGCTAAGCCATTAAGGTTCCCGGTCGTGCGCAGCTGGCACAAATCCTCATAAGCGCCCAGGGAACCGCCGCCATCCGCTCCTGGTGGCGACGACATGTCCACATGTTTGAATTGCAACGAGTAAACCGACTTACCGTCCGACGAAAGGGCCAGGTCGAGAATAACGCCTTTTTGTTCGAGAGAGAGGCCCGCGTGGATGTCCCCTTCAAGAGTCAGCACTTCTGAGTTCAGCACAACCAACGCCTCTGGACCCTCCGTTGCTGCGGCTGTTTCGAGCACCCTCCCCCCCTTCTCACGATCGCCGTGGCTGTCTGCAAGCTCAGATCCCTTGCCGCTTACGGGTTGACCAAGTGACTCCGTGGCCGATCGCCCTTCCAATCCCAACGTCGACACAGACGGAGCCGGAAACCTACACTCGGTCTGAAATTGGTGCCCTCCAAGCAGTAGCCAACTGGCATCCGAACCGCGGTGTGAATGAACGGCCATGCAAAGAAGAAGCAGAAGAAAAAGACGTATAATCGTTCCCATCGCCAGACAAAGCGACTGCAAGGAAGAAGGTATGGAGAGTGCAGGTCGCAGTAGAGATCGGAGTCGAATGTTTTTTGGGGAGCTGTTATGCGTCCTCAGTGCATTGGGAGGGGCGAGTCCTAATCAATGAAGGTGCGTTTCGCCGATATCTATCCATTTCTTGTTGTTTTTTTTTATTTATATCTTCTCTAGCGCAGCTTGGTAGCGCGTTTGTTTTGGGTACAAAATGTCGCAGGTTCGATTTCACCTCACACTGCCTACCTACCACTACTCCCACTTGTACGCATACGGGGAACCCCGTAGCAGCCAGAACCGTGCATTTCCATTTCTGCCGGCCTCGTGGTGGTAGTTCCGTCCACAACCAACTACTGCCGCTACCGGCCTACACCCTCACTGGTGAGTTTTTTTTTTTTTTTTTGTTAATTATAACTGTTAGACCAAGCCCTGCGTGGTGGCGCAGCCTGGGGCGTGGGGGCAGATGTTGTGGACGCGGGAGCAATTGCGTGCGGCAACAGTGCCGTCACACAGCATTGGCTGGCTGAAGTGGTTGACCCTTTTTCCTTCCAGGCTGGGAGGCTAAATTGTAAAAGTAACCTATACAGCATTCTTCGGAGGCCCGCGGAGGTTGGGTGCTACTGGACCACAAAGGCAGGCGGTGCCAGCAAAAAGAAAACAAACCCGCAGCGTGGTCTCTTTGGCCTCGCATCTATCGATAATAGGCTAGAACCTCCAAGTCGAAACTGCAGAAAGAGGCCTCTTATGGCCGCCCACATGAGACGAAATTCAACAAGACTCCTGAATTTTTGGTGCTAACTTGCTTTTGGTCTTCAAGGTATTTTGATAAAGCAATCTGGCTGCTGTTGCAGCCCCTTTAATTGTGCTTCAAGGGTAATTTTGGAAAGCTGATAGCTTCAGGATGGGACGCTGGACCCGGTTTCCAGCAGTGGGATTGTTAGTCTGTGAATAGTTTTTGGTTGAGCTGGGCTTGTAAGCTGAACTGGCTGAGGCTGCCAGGACAACTCCGGGACGAACTGTGAGGTCCCCGGCCTCGTTCCATTTTTGGCAATATATGAATGAAGCTTTCCACATAGACGATTGCGAAAGCCGAGAGCAAAGAGGGGGGACGCGAAACAATCAGTCAGCAGATACTGAGCTTATCCAGCTGCCACGACCGTCTTCCCACGAACACCACGCACGCTTCCCTTGACTGCACTTGAGCGGAAAGATAGCTTGTATTCATTCATCATGAAGGTGCTTTATGTTCGGGGAACGACTGTAGAGCTGTATCCCTCGGTTAGTAGTCAATCAATACACATTAGAAACCCTCTGCATGCCACACACACACACACACACATACACACACACAGACACACACACACTACACTGTTATACAAGATACACACTTGCGGGCTCTCTTCTTTGAAGGCTCCAAGTACCGCCTCAATGCCAACACCACAGATGTGATGAAAACATTGAAACCCGGCCTGGATGAGTATATTGCCAAGTTCATAGCAGCCATGAGATCAGCACGCAACAATGAGTCTCTAATTGCCGACAGTCTCTCTCAGCTGCGCAGATGGCGCACATCAATTCTTTCAAGATGCCAACGGAATCTATCTACGTCACAGTACCAAGCACCCACTCAAGCTGCCTCGCGTGCTGCTCATACATCTCTACGGCAGCTACAACAGCAATTTGCTATAGTGCCTGTTAATAAAACATTGCACAACATGGCAATCTGCTGCAAGCGCTGGTACGGGTATAAGTTATCACAACACCTTGATAGTCCTACCTACGATTCGACATCGGAATCTGTGGCCGGCATCCTTGACCACCATGCACTTTTCAATCAGCGTTGGGGCTATCGACATACTGACACCCTGCCCTATCTCTACTTTGCACTTAAAGCAAATAAATCCCCGCCTGGTCTTCGCCCAATTCTCGGTGTTACTCAACAAAACAACCTTTCTCAGTCTTCACTTCGCACAATACCTCGCCAGTCTTCGGTCTCCAGTTTGCATAACAGACCCCCTCATAAGCCTCTTGCCAGTACAAAAATGGTCTCCCGCTCACTTAGCTATGCTCTCCAAGGCGTGATCAAGTCTCTGCGCAGTAAGGACAATGAGCTTTATCAAGAAGTAGGTGTACGACGCTGTTGGATTGTACAGAGTGGTGAGGAAGTCATCTTAGATCTCAAGCAAAATGCACCATCCCTTCGAGGCTGTACGCCCCWTACGGTAGATTTCACAACCATGTACAATAACCTGCCACATRWTAGGATTCTTAACAATGTCCTAAATGYGGTTCGTGAAGCACATGATTAYGCCTTGTTGCGTATCCCGCAGGGAAGAAGGTCAGTACAAATGTACATGACTGTAGGAGGTCCTCATCGCGGGGAGTGGGTTACTTCACATGGATCAGACACCCTTTCCGTGTCAGAGATAGAACAGCATCTGCGGTTCGTGGTGTCGAACACTTATCTCTACACAAGGGATCGCACTTTGCATCATCAGGTGGTAGGCATCCCTATGGGCACTAACGCTGGACCGGAAATTGCCAACCTTACGCTTTATTGGGACGAAGCACAGTTCATCGATGAATTACGACAACAGGATCTACGCGTTGTGCAAGCACATGCATTTACGTACCGATTCATTGATGACATCTTATCCTAGAAGACATTACCGCCCCCTCCTGCTCGATATGGTCTTGAGTGGAAGGACACTACTGAGCAAGATGGGTCGTGTGTTTTCCTTGGGGCAAGRATCCTTGTTCGGYCGGATGACTCACTTCGCATCGGCGTCTTTGATAAGGCTGAGGCCTGGAYATTCCCTGTCATACGCTACCCCAGCGCTTCCTCTAATGCCCCAGGTCATCAGCCTCTAAGTGTGCTCACAGGGCAGCTGACACGATTTGAACACATCTGCAACAATACTGCCGACTTAAAGGCTGCAGTGACTTCCCTCACACCACGAATGCTCATTAGAGGCAATCCCCCCAGTGTCCTGGCCAAAGGTTGGAATGCATACGTGCGCGGCCGGCAGCGCCGGTTACCCACTCATGTTACACGACTTTCAAACTGGTTTCGGCGCATGGTACGCCGGGCAATTGCCCACCCACTCCCGAATGCAAATTTTGTTCGCAGGTCTTTTGCACAACCGCACGCAATAGGAAACATCCCGCAGCCTGACCAACATCAGCCCTCCACAACTGAAATTCCAAATGCTAATGAGAATGCGCCAACCCGACAGGAGACCGGACCAATCGCAACAAATTTGGCCGAAGTGGCTGCAAGGGAGGAGGGCCATCATCCTACGAATACGGTGGCAGTTCCAACGCTGCCATCGCCGCCATTACCACCTCTGCCACCACCACCGCCATCATCATCACCACGACTGCCCCCTGCCCTATCACCACCACTCTCCCCACCACCTTCAACACCACTATCGCAGTCGCCGTCGCTTCCAGCATCATCGTCATCAACCTCAACATCATCATCACCATCATTACATTTATGGTTGGATCAGCTACGACAAAGGACCAGTCGGCGGACGCGTACGACATTGGACCAACCATTGCAGATGCCTCTTCGGCGGGTCCATTCTCCGTCTCCACCTCCGTCCCCAAGACAGCGGCCTCGTCTAGCTGTGAACGGCTTGATCACCGCGCCTCCAACGGCTACTAGAGATTTGCTCCGCTGACATGCTCGCAACCGTTCGGAACGACAGCGTCGCCTTCGATACACAGTAGCCAGGAATAGTACACGCCGAGTTTGATGCCCGCAATGTGGGGATGATTT